CATTTAATGGCCTTGATGATTCACCTAAATAAAACTGATCGCATTCACAAGGTATTTTATAAATGCAATTCTTTGTCCCTTCTTGGTCATTGTTAGGTTTGGTTTTGGACAAAATAGATCTCAACGTGTTTGTTGTTTTGAATGTTGTTGAAATGTTGAATTTATTTCCTATCCTTTTAAGTTTTTCTGATAGTCCTTTTATGTACGGTATTGTTATTTTCCTCATATTATTCCTTGTGTATGCTGTAGGATCTCGTTCTAAGTTGTTTCTGTTCTATTCGATCGATTGTTGAAAATTCCTTATTTATAAACGATAAAGGATAATCATTTTTTAATAAAACAGATGTTAACAAATGTTTCTCCTCCAAGAACGAATTTTCGTTAGAACAAGTAATTTTGGCTCTATCGTATAAGGATTTAATTATTCCCTTTTTTACATTAATATTGTGATTTGATTTGAAATTTAAATATCTATTGGTGTGTGTTGGTTTTCTATACACCTGAGTCTCATATCCAGTATCGTTCTTAGAGATTAAAACATCCAGGAAAGGTAGTGTGTTATTATATTCCTTTTCCATGGTAAATGTTATTGTCTCTTCTTTATCGTTTATATCATTTAGGAATGTGTCCAACAACTCTGATCCATGAGGCCATATTGAGAATACATCATCTACATACCTCCACCATACTGTGGGTTTGAAATTTTGTTTAGAAATGATATTTGTTTCAAAATCTTCCATAAATAGATAAACTAAAAGAGATAAACTAGAGCCCATTGCTATAACCAAAATTTTGTTTATAGAATTCATTATTTAGTTGAAAATATGTATTATCAGTACATAATGTTAATAACTCCATTATAGCCGATATGTTTTAGTTTTGTTCTAGTTGCCAAATAAATAATCACTTTCTAATTTTTTAATATTCTTAAATTATTAACTTATTCCCAGTTTAATAGTAATTAATTTACAATGCCACAAGAAAATAGCTTCAGAACAATACTACAAGACTATGTTGAAAAGAATGTAGAATTCGTCTATAGCTTCATACAATTTACTTCGTAGGACACTATTATAGGATGATTTAAAATCTATTGGTGTACGATCCCTCATACATACCCTTGACGATATGTATGAGATCTCTCTTACAATGGAGTCGGCTTTTCTTCTTGCCGTATTTCCCTATCAATTGTCATAAAACTAAACAGTCCTATCGATGCCCCTCCTTAACCTTCGCTTTACAGTTCTCTCTCACATTTTCGTTGTGTGCGATAATCATTTTATCCCTCATGTAGTTTTTACAATCCTAAATATCCCCTTTATCTTTATATACTATCACGCTCTACCTCCATACATCGAATATTCTTTCTTCTTCATATATCCTACTTATTATTTGCCGCAGTATATTAACTTCTTCTCTCCAAGAGACTTCCAAACCTCCATCAGGTCCTACTCCTTACTATTCTTCATCCTATTTACAACAAAACCTCGACAACGTCATCTTGCGGTATCTCCGGTATTTACATTTTCATTTTTCACTACGCAGTTGTTTTGGTTGGTGTCCTTTATGGTTCTGTTCCAAGGGACAATTTGTCAATTAAGCTCCGTAGACCGTTAGTTTGTCTAGTCATTGTGCTATCCCGCTATTAAATTATTTCAATATATTCTATATATTGCAAGTAAGATAGAGCTGGAACGTCAGATAATAGAACAAGTAATGGAAGTAAATAAAGCAAACAGAGCCGCAGGTTGCCTGAATGATGTCAGTCATACCTGCATAAGAAGAAGACGAAGAAGACGATATATTTGTTAATGCTTCTTTCATTATTTAAAGGTTTTAAAAAAAAATTGTACGTTTCTGGTTAGGATATTTAAAAACCTTGAATTTAACCACTCTCACATATTTTTTTGATCGCGTTTTTAACATGTTTGATATTCATTATAGATAACGTTAAATTACATTACAAAAACATATTTTCAACAAAACCTAATATCTTATTAAAAAAATCGGTGATTATTTTAAAAGCGAAAACAGCAACGAAAGGTGTGCCACCAAAATAAAAATGAAAAATGATATATAGCAAGTCTGTATAATAAAAATCCAGACTATTTTTTAACTATATTAAAGAATATAAAAGTTCTAGACTGTATTGTAGTAAAGCAAAGTAAAGTTCAACGTCCCAATATTTTTGAACTGCTATACTCATTAAAACACAAAAATAACAACTAAAAATATGAATCAAACTTCTAAAATGTAAATATATTCTTGTTGAAGAAAATCAATTTCAGAATTATAATAACGGTCTGACAGCTTGACAATTGATCTGAAGCTCCGACCTGGTTTATTGTTAGTAGGTCAGTAAACGCATTTATTATTTAGTATAGTATAAAAGCGTTTAATATGTAGTTAACAGTAGGATGTTATTTAGGGTACATAAATGTTACCAGTATAGAAAAAAGTAATACAAACTTATCATCCCAGACTCTTTAAACTTAAACAATATATCTAGAACTAATATAGCTACACCTAATATTGATATGCTATTAAAGAGTATTAAAACAAAGTATTTACATATACTAAAATTAATAAAAGAACAGTAACTACTTTATTTAAAAGATGTTACTAGGAGAAAAAAGTAATCTTCATTATTTTCAAGTAGTTACTGTTGAAGTTGAAGGTTATAAATACATTTTTCCAGTTCTTACTTCTTTTTAGTTAAACAAAAAGATTACTATTCTACAATTAGTAAGTATAATACCTTAATATTTGTTACGTTACCTCAAATGAATACTTACGCCAGTTGAGTGTGCATACTTACACTAGTAGAGTGGTGGTTCTAAATATTTTTCGTTTGTTATAATAATTATGGTTGACTTTATATGTTCGCAAAAATAAACACTACAAGAAAAGAAAAAGCATAAAGTCCCAGTAAATCTAAGGTTCTATTGCGTTTTGAAAGCGAAAGTATAGACTTTCTATCAGATTCTTTTTGCCACAACTAGATGAAACCTCAGGAGATGCACTTTGCTCTCGACAAAGGATGGAGATTTTTCTGCGGTACATTAGTGATATTGGATTTCAACCAGGTATTACTGAAGATTTCGTCGTTCACCATACGACGGTATGTAAAACCATAGATGATGTTGCTGACAGAATTTTTAAGAAATCACATCAGTGGATAAAATTTCCGTCTGACATCGAAGGTATGGAAGGAGCAAGGATACAATGGACAAATCGATTCCAAATACCTGCAGTCATTGGTGCACTGGATTGTACCCATGTTCGTATTAAAAAACCTTCAGAATTTGGTGACTGATTTATTAATAGAAAAGGATTTCCTAGCATAAATGTACAAGTAAACGTGTGATGCATATGAAGTGATTACAAGTTTGGACACTCAGTGACCTAGAAGTATTCACGATTCGAGGATTTGGAAACAAAGTTCCATTCAAAAAAGCCTCAAAACGAAGCAAGGAATTATTTAATATCACTCACAGAGAAAGGGTGATAATTGGAAGAGTATTTGGGCAGCTAAAGCAGAGATTTCCTATATTAGAGTCAAAATGTAAGAGTATCTTTGTCGAAAGTTCCAAAAATCATTATTTGTTGTGCTGTTTTGCATAATATTTGCAAACATCTACTAGACGATTTTGAGTTTCCTGAAAATTAACTGGAAAATTCACAGGATGTACACCACAATGAAGCAGAAGTAGATAATATTCATCTAAGAGGAGCTGCAAAATGTCAATTAATAAAAAGTAGTCAGTCAGTAGTCAGTAGAAACAATATTTAACAGTAATATTTAAAAACAATATTTAACTTGATTGACATATTGAGAAATTACAAATATATTACAAGTTCATGTATTCTCGTAGTTCTAATATAATGCGACTTACTATCCACTTCTGCTCCAAAGCTTCCTTCGGGAATTCGAGATGGTACAACATTTGTCAATTTTTCTATCAGAAGTTTTTCCCTTTGGGATTGAAGTCCGACAACATTTAATCCTTCAAGAAGAACAAGTCGTTGCAACTCTTGTGTTGATAAACTTTCCGTTTCCTCGGACTCTAACTTAAATTTCTTCTTCTTTGGGCGTTTTGTCAGCGTTCCTATAGATGAGGGCATTTGTGAACTCGTACTAGCTGATCCAGTATTTTGTAGATTATTTGCTTCGCCGTTGTCAGTTCCAATGAAACAACCACCAGGAATTTTCATGATTTTTTTCAAAATTCATTATATCCAAAAGTTCTTTTTCCCACTCGCGCATTTTAATTTTTTTGTTACCAGTCATATTCTTATCCTTTTTCTTCTTTACATCCATTTTCATTGTATTGAGAATTTTTTTAATTTCTCCATAGTTATACTTGCACCAGAAGCCTTAATAAATTGTTCTTTTATTTCGTTCCATGCCTTCGCTTTACTTTTAACAATTGCTGGAACCATTGATTTATCCAGAAGAACCATATGATTTTTGTGTTTGGCAGCTACTTGTTTTAGTCTTTGGCAGATACTCTCGACAGGCAATTCTTCCTCACTTGACGACGACAAAATGATTACTTGTAGCGCTAAAACTTAACTGACCTGGATATACTACACAAAATATCAACTACGTTTACAAACTTGTTAAACTTGTCTGGCAGATATAAATAACCTTACAAGACAATTTTTATAGGTAAATACTTACAAGCATAGGTTAACACGGTATCTAAGGTTAACACTTACAAGTATACTTAAATTTCAGAATGTTTTTCCAGTGAGAAAACTTATTTTTTATTCAAATATAAATAAGTATCTAATATCTTATCCTTATAAGTATTACTTTTTGTTTAGAAGTTACTACTTCTAAGGTAACACTTATTTTTATTCAATGTACCAATTATAAATAAATAAATACTTTATTTACTTTTATACAAACATAGTTACACTTTTCATCTTCCAAACGCATCCACCAAAATTTTAAAAAGTAAATACAATAATATTAATTCGATGTTTCTTTTCAGTCACTTAAGAAACTCCATCACTCAAATGTGGTGAAATTAAAAGAAGTCATTCGAGAAAACGATGTGCTTTACTTTGTGTTTGAGTATATGCAAGAAAATTTATATCAATTAATAAAAGACCGCAGAGTGCCTTTTCCTGAATCAGTAGTTAGAAATATCATTTATCAGGTAAGTCGCCATGTTATAATTTTATTTAGATTCAAAACAATTTATCTTATGTTTCAATGGACAACTTAATTTATAGACCTTTATTATGGTATTTTGAAGTAGGGACTATCTACATTTTCTTCCCAATCTATGGTTTTTCATTACATAATTTCTTTTGTAAGGTAAAAAGAGACAAGGTGGAATTGCAATTTATGTAAAAGATAATCTTATGTATTCTTCTCATAGTCTAAATGAATATAATGTAGTGCAGGTAAGTTCAGAGTTTTGTGCAATTTATGTACCTTTAATAAAAACCATCATTTTAACTGTATATAAATCGGGTAAGGGTGACCTTGACTTATTTTTGGTGAATTTTGAGAATATCGTCCTTGTTTAGTAAACAAGGACGATATTCTCAAAATTCAAGTAAAGGGTCAGATTCAAGTTTAAAATTTATATTAAAATCACCAAGTATGATCAGTTTGTTTGCTTTACTAAACAAGGACGTTATGACATTCGTCTACAACGATTATACTAGAATCACATCCCAGTCATGTAGTTGCATCGACAACGTTATATAAAAATTTTCCTTAAGTATTTGAACCTTATTTTCTGACTATCAAGCTCAATTTTTTATTTATTGACTCTGAGCATAAAGTTGTTGACACAAAACAAACATTTCAGACTACGATCAACGGTTTATAACTACTTCTGGTTTACATAAGCTTTAACGTGCACTAGCTAGTACAAAGATAGACTTTTTCTATGACATTAATAATGATCCTGATATTTTGACAGTTTTTCTTAACGAAACTTATAACAACTTAATATTAAAGCAATTTTCAACACCCTTAAAATGGTTTAATAATGAATTAGGGTCTTACAGATCTAATCTTTCTCTTATTAAACACATTGCAGGTGCCACCAAGGATCCCTATTTGTGCAAAGTATATAAACAAAAAAATTTTAATATAATCGGCAATTACAAATTGCTTAAAAGTCAGTTTACTGTAATTTTAATACTAGTTCCAATAATAAACCTAGAGACTGCTGGAAAATGGTAAATTTTCAAAGAAATAACACAAGATCCAGTTTGGTACAACCTGATCTATCTCCAATCGAAATAAATCAATTTTTTACTACAATTGCAGTGAATATAATTACATCTATAGGTACAACAGATTAAACAATAAACTTATAAATCTTATCAGGGTTAAAGCTTTGCATGATCATGCTTCTCATGAAAAAATAACAACAAAAATTTTCAGAATTTAAATTTCATCCTAGAATAATAAAACCTTACTGATATCAACTTTACAGAAGATGCGAATAAACTTCTAAACTATGGTCTTAAACACTCAGTGCCTAAAGATTTGTCTTTATATGATCTTGAGAGTCTATCTATTGAGACAGATATAGTAATCCAAAACCTTTCTTTATCTCTTTCCCAAAGAACGTCAATGAGAAACTCCGGTTACCGTTACAACAATAAATTTAAAATTAAGATTTCTTGAACATCAAACTCTTCAGATATTCTAAACCTTTTTTTTCTCATAATTTTTCCTTCCAAAAAACACAATCATAGCTTAAGACCCTTAAATCAATCAAACATAAAATTTCAAGACACAACCTAATTTTTTCTAAGGTTGATAAAGGTAGTTGTTTGGTTATTCTATACCGTGATTCATATGATAATAAAGTCTCTTCTTTTCTAGATGACAATCACTTCACTCTTATACCAACTGATCCTTCTAAGAGATTTATATCCAAATTCAAAGATCATGTCAAAAAACATTCTGAATTTCTTTCCAATCATGATGCTCCCTATAGCAAACTACCTGGTAACCCTCTCATTCCAAGGTTGTATGGCTTGCCCAAGATAGATAACGTTGGAATTCCCATTCGTCCCGTTGTCAGTTTCATTAACACTCCAGTGTCTATTTTATCTAAATCCATACTTAATACTTTAAAAAATCTAATTAATTTTACTCTACAGTTTACTGTAATAAATTAATATTAATTGGTTGGTAAACTTCAACTCATTAGTCTCAATCCTGACATTACTATGCTTTCTTTTTATGTTAGCAATTTATTTACTTCTGTGTCCAAACTTGTAACTCTTAGTCTGGTAAAAACACTCTTAGTCAATAGGTCGATTCAGTCTAACGTCATTTCATCGATATTGGATATCCTTGAATTATGTCTATCACAAGATTTCTTCAATTCAACAACAAATTTTATAAACAACCTGATGGTTTAGCAATGGGCAGTTGCTTATCCCCCCTACCTGGCTGATGTTTCATGACTCAGCCCAACAACTACTTCTTAAAATCAATCAAATCCAACCAAATATCAAATTTACCATGGAACTAGAATCTTCCCAAGCCATTAATTTTCTAGATTTATCTATTACCAGAATCAACAATCAATTTGACTTTCAAATGCAAGCCCACCCAAACCTATCAAGTCATTCATTGTTCCTCCAATTACCCTCTATCACACAAATTAGCTGCTTTCAGAAATATCATAGTCTAGGCGGGATCTGTTTTGGATTGGAAATTTTCGAGGGAAGCTATTTTTTTGCTGGAATCCATTCAGGATATGCCCAGTATCGATAATCACGATATGCGCCAGTCGCAAACCCTGTGCTAAAGTTTTTATTTAACAAAATCTGAAAACAATTGAAAATTTCGCAGTTTTTTTGCTCCTATTTTCATTTATAATTCGAAAATATTGATCTTAGAGAAAAAATTATAAGTAGTTAAAAGTTTCGTTATTAAATTTTACACAATATTTTGTTAGCTAGAAATTGAAAATTTAATGGTTATTGTTAAAAAATAGCAATAATTGGAAAAAAAAAGTACAAAAAATGAAGTTAATCCTTTAAATGTTTTCGACTTTCTAAACTTGACTTACAAGTTCCATATTCCGCCTAGAAAAACTTTTTAATATGTTTAAAACGTGTACTAAATTTTGTTAAGATCGGTCGGATAGGTTTTGCATAATAATTTTGCAATGCTCGAAATTGTTTTTTTTTTTGAGCTTGCAATTTATACATTAAAGTAAATTGTTACTTTTAGTAAAACAAATATGTATTTATAAATTGTTAATAAATAATTTAAATTGTTAAAACAAAGGCGAATGAAACAAAAATTTTCTTTTTATAAATAATCTTTATTTTGACTCAACCTTCAATAATTTTTTTTAAGTCTTTTTCTTTTTTTGGAAGGACAAGAATCTTCAGGTTTTATTTCTTCCTCAAAACCTTCATTTTCCATTTTAATATCTTCATCCTCGATCATCTCATCCTCGATCGTCCTCGATTCATCTGTAGCTATATCTTGTGCCTCCAAAAAATCTAAGGAATCCATCGACTCCATATCCATATCTCGTTCAACTTCTTCCAATATTTTATTGTGATCAATATTTTTACATGTTTGACCATTGCAGTGAAGACAATAGTCAGAACATTTGAGACCATGTTTGATACAACTGCATGTTTTTGTACAAAGTTTTTTACATTTGCAACTAATATTTCTGAATAATGAGTCAGGTAGTAATACTTGCTCAGTTTGTATTGGCTTAAGACCATTTTGAGTTAGTTCCCACCCCCACTCAGTAGCATTCAGGATATTTCCAAGCCACTGCTGTACTTGGAAATATACACGAAGCGAGTGTTGCTCAGCTGCAGATTGTGTAGGTGGCAGCATGGACAATTGAAAATTTTTATTTTTGCAACCTTTTTTAAAGCACAAGTAGCGAATTTTATTCAATGTAAAATCGCACTTTGAGTGGCCCATATACAATGCCGATATAATTTTGCATCCGCTGCGTTTAATTTCTTCCTTAGTGGCACTTTTTTCATTAAAAATGGTTGCTTCTTGCCATATATCATTAATTGTTGAAACCAATTTAACAATTTTGCTTTTTCCTTGATAAAAAAATGCAGAGGTTGTATCACAACCAGAAAATGCGTGTAAAAAGCCCACAAATTTTTTAACGAAGATTTCGTAGATTCACTTATTTTAAGTGCATTATTGAAAGAGTTGTAGTACATAAATTTCTTCCGATTTTTTTCCTATTGCTAGGTTTCCAGAAAAAAATATTTTTATTTTCAGTTACTTTTTGTAAAAATATTACCAGAACATCAATATCCTCTTCAATTATAAAAACTGGCTTGTTATCTGAGGCTAATATATACTTGATACTCGCCGATTCACATTTGAAGTGAATGTCCCTCACCACCACCCTCTCATGCATTCGAGCGACATTTTACGCGAAAAACGGTTTTTTATTTGTCTTTTTTATGGATGTTGCCATGAAGCGCATTACGTAAAACTTTTCATGTAAAAAGTATTTGGCAAGAAGAGGGTATTTGTTTAAAAACGAGTCCTCTATCACTTATGGTTACACGGCAAATGTATACCAACTTTGACCTTCAATATCTCGGCAACCAGTAAGCCGAATGTATCTTTTTGTTTTTTAAAAGAACGTCTTTTAATGTTCTTTAAGTGTATACATTTTGAAATTGATATGTTCAAAGCTCGTAAAGTTATTTAATTTGTTTATAAGCCTAAAAATTGTTTATAACTTTAAAAAAATTTATAGGCTTTCGTAGTAAACCGATTTGAATTTTACAAAAAGCGTTTGAAAGTGTGAGACTTCCTTATATGTAAAAAAAATTGCAACTATCTGAGGGCCTTATTTGGGGCCTACTATGAATTTGAAAATTTGCGATTTTTTTCCAGTAGGCTGGATTGCAAAATTATTATGCAAAACACTATCGACCGATCTTAACAAAATTTAGCAAACGTTTTTAAACATATTAAAAAGTTTTTCTAGGCGGAATATGGAACTTGTAAGTCAAGTTTAGAAAGTCGAAAACATTTAAAGGAATAACTTCATTTTTTTTGTACTTTTTTTTCCAATTATTGCTATTTTTTCAACAATAACCATTAAATTTTCATTTCTAGCTAACAAAATATTGTGTAAAATTTAATAACGAAACTTTTAACTACCTA